TTTCAGGTAAATACGAGGATTTATTAACCCTCGAAGGAGATATTTTCCTCGGCCTCCGGCCTTGGGAAATATCACCTTCTCGGGTTGATAAATCCTCGTATTCACCTGAAAATAGGTCAATAATGGTATAATATACACCCGGTATCCTTGTATTATACTATCTACAACCGAAAAACCTTGAATAATACTATCTACACCCGGAAAACCTTGCATTACGTTAGGGTTACGTTAAGATTACGTTAGGGTTACGTTAGGATTACGTTAGGTTTACGTTGGATTACGTTAGGGTTACGTTAGGATTACGTTGGATTACGTTAGGATTACGTAAGGATTACGTTGGATTACGTTGGATTACGTTAGGTTTACGTTGGATTACGTTAGGATTACGTTAGGGTTACGTTGGATTACGTTAGGGTTACGTTAGGATTACGTTAGGGTTACGTTAGGATTACGTTAGGGTTACGTTAGGGTTACATTAGAGTTACGTTAGGATTACGTTAGGGTTACGTTAGGGTTACGTTAGGGTTTCGTTAGGATTAGGTTAGGGTTACGTTAGGATAACGTTAGGATTACGTAAGGGTTACGGTAGGATTACGTAAGGATAACGTTAGGATTACGTTAGGGTTACGTTAGGATTACGTTAGGGTTACGTTAGGATTACGTTAGGGTTACGTTAGGGTTTCGTTAGGATTAGGTTAGGGTTACGTTAGGATTACGTTAGGATAACGTTAGGATTACGTAAGTGTTACGTTAGGATTACGTTAGGGTTACGTTAGGATTACGTTAGGGTTACGTTAGGATTACGTTAGGATTACGTAAGGGTTACGTTAGGATTACGTTGAATTACGTTAGAATTACGTTAGGATTACGTTAGGGTTACGTTAGGATTACATTAGGATTACGTTAGGGTTACGTTAGGGTTACGTTAGGATTACGTTATGATAACGTTAGGATTACGTTTGGATTACGTTAGGATTACGTTGGATTACGTTAGGGTTACGCTAGGATTACGTTAGGCTTTCGTTAGGATTAGGTTAGGGTTACGTTAGGATTACGTTAGGATTACGTTAGGATAACGTTAGGATTACGTTAGGATAACGTTAGGATTACGTTAGGGGTACGTTAGAATTACGTTAGGGTTACGTTAGGATTAAGTTAGGGTTATGTTAGGATTACGTTAAAATTACGTTAGGGTTACGTAAGGGTTACGTTAGGATTACGTTAGAATAACGTTAGGGTTACGTTAGGGTTACGTTATGATTACGTTACGGTTACGTTAGGGTTAGGTTATGATTACGTTAAGATTACGTTAGGATTACGTTAGGGTAACGTTAGGTTTACGTTAGGGTTACGTTAGGGTTACGTTAGGGTTACGTTGAGGATTACGTTAGGTTTACGTTAGGGTTATGTTAGGGTTACGTTAAGATTACGTTAGGTTTACGTTAGGATTACGTTAGGATTACGTTAGGGTTACGATAGGGTTACGCTAGAATTACGTTAGGATTACGTTATGATTACGTTAGGTTTACGTTAGGGTTACGTTAGGGTTACGTTAGGGTTACGTTAGGATTACGTTATGGTAACGTTAGGATTACGTTAGGTTTACGTTAGGGTTACGTTAAGATTACGTGAGGTTCACGTTAGGGTTATGTTAGGATTACGTTGGGTTATGTTAGGATTACGTTAGGTTTACGTTAGGGTTACGTTAGGGTTATGTTAGGATTACGTTAGGGTTATGTTAGGATTACGTTAGGTTTACATTAGGGTTACGTTGGATTACGTTAGGATTATGTTAGGGTTACGTTAGGATTACGTTAGGATTACGTAAGGGTTACGTTAGGATTACGTTGGATTATGTTAGGATTACGTTAGGATTACGTAAGGATTACGTTAGGATTACGTTAGGGTTACGTTAGATTTACGTTAGGATTACGTTAGGATTACGTTAGGGTTACGTTAGGGTTATGTTAGGATAACGTTAGGATTACTCTAGGGTTACGTTAGGGTTATGTTAGTATTACGTTAGTACTACGTTAGGTTTACGTTAGGGTTACGTTAGGGTTATGTTAGTATTACGTTAAGGTTATGTTAGGATTACGTTAGGTTTACGTTAGGGTTATGTTAGGATTACGTTAGGGTTATGTTAGGATTACGTTAGGTTTACGTTAGAGTTACGTAAGGGTTATGTTAGGATTATGTTAGGATTACGTTAGGTTTACGTTAGGGTTACGTTAGGGTTATGTTAGGGTTACGTTAGGGTTACGTTGGATTACGTTAGGATTACGTTAGGGTTACGTTAGGGTTACGTTAGGATTACGTTGGATTACGTTAGGATTACGTTAGGTTACGTTAGGGTTACGTTGGATTACGTTAGGATTACGTAAGGGTTACGATAGAATTACGTTAGGATTACGTTAGGATTACGTTATGGTTATGTTAGGATTACGTTAGGGTTACGTTAGGGTTACGTTAGGGTTACGTTAGGATTACGTTAGGGTTACGTTAGGATTACGTTAAGGTTACGTTAGGATTACGTTAGAATTACGTTAGGGTTACGTTAGGATTACGTTAGGGTTATGTTAGGGTTACGTTAGGGTTATGTTAGGGTTACGTTAGGGTTACGTTAGGGTTACGTTAGGGTTACGTTAGGGTTATGTTTTAAGTGTACGTTAGGGTTATGTTACGGTTACGTTAGGGTTACGTTAGGATTACGTTAGGATTACGTTAGGATTACGTTAGGGTTATGATAGGGTTACGTTAGGATTACGTTAGGGTTACGTTAGGGTTACGTTAGGATTACGTTAGGGTTACGTTAGAGTTACGTTAGGGTTACGTTAGGGTTACGCTAGGGTTTTGTTAGGGTTACGTTGGATTACGTTAGGATTACGTTAGGGTTACGTTAGGGTTTCGTTAGGATTAGGTTAGGGTTACATTAGGATTACGTTAGGATTACGTAAGGGTTACGTTAGGATTACGTTGAATTACGTTAGGATTACGTTAGGATTACGTTAGGATTACGTTAGGGTTATGTTAGGGTTATGTTAGGGTTACGTTAGGATTACGTTAGGATTACGTTAGGGTTACGTTAGGGTTATGTTAGGATTATGTTAGGATTACGTTAGGATTACGTTAGCAGGTAGCCATATCCAGTCCATACCCATTGCTAACTTAAAGTCTGATCTAAATTTTAAACGAACATCCACAACATGTAGGCCACTAAAACTAAATCATTTCTGAAACTATGCGGAACCTTTATACAGACATAATAATTATAAAAAATGAAATACAGGCCAAACGAGGACTCCGCCCTTAGACCTCTAATCAGTATAGTCCTGCTACAGAACGATAGAACCTGGCCACGTCATGGTAGACCCTACGTCACAGTAGATCATGGCCATGTCACGGTAGACCCTGGAACGTCACGGTAGACCCTACGTCACGGTAGACCATGGCACGTCACGGTAGACCCTACGTCACGGGAGACCCTGGCCATGTCACGGTAGACCCTGGCCACGTCACGGTAGACTCTACGTCACGATATACCCTACGTCACGGTAGACCCTACGTCACGGTAGTCTCTACGTCACGGTAGACTCTACGGCACGGTAGACCCTGGCCATGTCACGGTAGACCCTGGTCACGTCACGGTAGACCCTACGTCACACTACAGTTATAAGGCACAGCTACTGTTAATTTACACGGCCGATTTTACGTAACAGTACACTATGGGATATACAGTGCTGTACGTTTGTTATATGTTATCTTTGAGCATACCTTGCGAGGCTCATGTTTTGCGCACGTGATAAAAAACAGCAGATATCACAAATAAGCTCCCCAGTAAGTTTGACTGTCACGTATACAGGTGAGAAACCGGATCGACACTCCGTTGGTATTATGTTCCTATTCAAGTCTTACTATCATTTTTATTCATATTGCCAAATCATTTACTGCATAGGATTTGTAAAAATCGAAGGTCCATGTTCCCCGTACAGTGGTACACAGACTGGCTTATACACTTCTAGACTGTCTTGATGTTCCCCGTACATTGGTACACAGACTGGCTTGTACACTCCCAGCCTGTCTGGATGTTCCCCGTACAGTGGTACACAGACTGGTTTTGTACTCTACCAGACTGTCTGGATGAGAAACCTATACATCGCCTTGTTTCATCAATTTCAGTTACAAAAGTCACACTCGTATGGAACTAAACTTGTAAAAGAACTAACAATCGGTATCAGTTTGTATATTTTTGTCTTTTTCTTTAAGTATACCCAGCCAGAAATATACCTTAAAATAAAATATAAATACAATAAGTATGAAAATACCACATCTGGGTTACTTTATTCTGTATTGAATGAAATGAAAATTACTTTGCTACACTTTTAACAAAATGTTCGTAGCTGAAGACGATGTATAGAACTATATCAGAAGGGTTCGTCTGTCCAGTGTGAGTTAAGTGACCGGACCGTACACAATTTAAAAAAGGAGGCTATCGACAACATCCTGATACCAATATGTTATAGTTTTAATAAACTGTGTATCCACAATCCCTACCAGCCGACACATGGTATATATGGGCCGGGGCTTATACAGTTAGTCTAGAGGGTCGTACAGTCTAAATATTGCCACTCATGTATTGGAGTGTGTGTGTGTATATACGCCCAGGTAATAAGCAAGCTAACATTCACTATCAGTCGAGCGATCATTCCTCATTTGTGGCCTTCTAAGCTACCATGATTTGTACCCCGTTTTTATGGTTGCACACATCACCAGCCCGAAATCACTGATCGTCCTTCTCTCATCCTTGTCAACACAATATTTTGATGCCGATATAGTTGCTCTCTCGATGGGGGTTTAAATCGGGAAAATATTTCATTTTGTCAGCGAGATAAGCGAAATCCTGCTGGTATATCTGTTATATATCGGCAGACAAAGATCGGACAGACCTAAGCCAACATCAGGACATACAGATCCTATTATAGTACAAAGGAGGAATATACCTGGCATCCTCTAAAGGTTGTCCTGACGTGCGACATCCTCACAGGGGGTTGTTCCTTGTTGTCTGTTCTCAATCGGAACTCCTTTGGACTTTTCTATGTTACTGTTCGGCTACGGAAATGCCGAGTGGTCCTGTTTGCTCACGTCACAGAAGCCTTGACAAGGGAAGTCCCAGATATAAATATAGAATAACAAGGCACTTCCCCGGTCACGTGCCAATGCGCACGTACACGCTTATAATGATCAATGTAATTGTCCTGAACACAAAACATACGTTTTAGTTAATGTTTTTATGTCGGAGAACTTATTTCTCATTTATTAACGAGTTACCTCTCTTTAGCTTAAATTTAATCTGAAAAGTGTAATCTGAGACGGACAAGCCCTAAACACAACCAAAAGTTATGACATCATATACAGGAACTGCTTTTAGCACATACTTATCGATTCAATGTGGGCGAGTATTAAATAAAAACGTTAAAAATAATCATATCAAATTTATTTTTGATCTTTTCATATTTGTGAGTTCCTGACTAAGATTTGGAGGAGGGATGTTAAATATCCATACAGAAAACAAAATTATATGTCCTTTATACACCGAGCACACTGATATCAATTTGGTCATATACGGTTATAACACATCTGCTGTTATAGTTCAATAGCCCTTTTACGTCATATTGTTTTTATATTTTATTTTCGGTTAAATACTAAAAGAGAACATATCTCTTATATACCGTTCACACAGCTCTGCAACCTTACGAAAAGTCGAAGACAATGCCGATCACCCCACCCCTATCATCCCCGATCTGAAAAGTTATCAAATCGGGACTTAATCGCCGTCAAAATCCGGCAAATTTGGGAAAATAAAGGCTACATCATGACTGTACTGCGATGCTTCTACGTCAAAAGCGCTGCTGACTCCTTCCACTACGATTACACCGACCAAGCGGTCGTTTCTACTAAGTTGTCGCTACGACGTACATGACCATACTACGTTGTAACACAGGCATAGAAGACTAGGACAATGTCGCTACGCTGGTGCTGACCATATGACGCTTCTAGTACACTTCTAGGACTTCGTGAGATCGTCTTGAGCGTAGAGGGAGTGTAGTGGGAACATGGTAAAAGCGTAACTAAAATGGCTTTGAAATAGTTGTCGACGGTGCTGCGTTTTTTGGCAATCATTGGTAGTGTACGTTGTTTGGAAGACAATTGTTTTCCGAGTATTTGAACTTTGATTAGAACATACTTTAAGGTAACATATGTACACGATAGCATTTCCAAGTGACAAACAGGCAGTTCGGGGTTGTATATTTACAGCAGCCCTAGGGGAATCACATATTGATACATGTTCCGTTTTGTTGGAAGACTTATGTAACATCCTATTTACCGCTATAACAGAACTGTGTGATACATTTAAACAGTTGTGTTTGATGTAATGGTTTCAGAGTGCTTGCAAAAGACTGACATCGCCACCATGTTTTACTCCTGGCATAAATGTGGTGTGGTGTTTCTGTCTGACAACTGGGCGGCTTGGAACTCAATAAAATTCAGAACGGTGTTTTAGAGATGGCGCTTGCATACATGACGGATGAGACTAAACTATGAAAGTTGTCAATATTATCGTTATGCTAGTTGAGATACATGTATGATGTTTTAATTTCCTACGGTAAAACTGTATTATATTTATGTAAGCGTTTTGATTGTACCACCAAACTGATATGTGAAAATTTCTAAACAACTCTTAATTGATCATCAATTAAGGTTGGTTTAAATAATATCCTTTCTTCCCGATCTATTGTTTTTCCTATTCTATAAAATCATGGTATGATGTCAGTTTTGCTGGTAAAGATGTAAAGGGATTAATGATAAGCTTTCCTGGGGTAAATGTAAAATCCTTATCTACAGAAACTCCGACCAAGAACGTTAGTAGTCAGAGACGTACGTATGGACCACGGTTTTCCTTCTTTATCTATGTAAGCCGCCATCTTGGATTGAGGAGGGATTTTTTTTTCTGAGGGCTTAGATTAATGTATGCATAGCAACAATGAATCAAGATTTTCTTAGTGTTTAATTAACCATCTTTTGAATGTTAATACAGATGGTGATATGTAAAATACATGATTTATGAACATGGTTGATTGTTTGTAAATTAAAAGGCCCTTTATAAAAGTGTTGTTATGACAATTGATTATGGGTTAATTATATTGCTGTTTGATTGTCTGTAATTTAAAAGGATGTATAAAGAAGCACACCCATTCCAGGTGATTGCTATCATCGCTATTGAAAAGAATTCATTGTGGCAACGTTGTATAAAAGGAATAGTGGTCGAGTTTTTAAATTCTTTTATTGACATTTTCACACCTGGCGTGCTATTGTGACATTGTACAACATTTAAAGGACAATGTCTTTGATCCAATAGAAATGATAATGACCAATTGGCAAGAGACACTGTGTTGTCAGGGCGACATAACATTGCAAATGACATTGTACAATAATATTTGAGAACAAACGGTTATTTCAGAATATGAAAAGATATTTGAATGCGTGTTGGCGTTTAGCCCCAAAACACAAGACTCGACTGATGTGTCGATGTGAAAGCTGAAATGTATAATAGCCTACCATCAAAATTTGATTGGATAATAATACATTACCCATAATACACTGAATTACCCAGAATACATTTTGTTTAACTTCATAAAATGTATATTTAAAGATCACAGCATTATTACTCTGACTCTAGAGGTGTAAAGATGTATGGTATTGCGTGTTCGAGGTGTCAGAAGGCATTTTGTAGTCGATACAACCTACACAGGCATATAAAGATATATCATTCAGAAGTGGACAAAACACTGGGAGCTTATGAAGCGCCTGGAGGAGCGCATGGAGCGCCTGTAGGAGCGCATGGAGCGCCTAGAGGAGCGCATGGAGCGCCTGGAGGAGCGCGTGGAGCGCCTAGAGGAGCGCATGGAGCGCCTGGAGGAGCGCCTGGAGTGCCTGATAGAGCGCATGGAGCACCGGGAGGAGCGCATGAAATGCCGGGAGCTCAGACAGTGACGGACTGTAAAGGTGAAGGCTTTGAATATTCTGAAGAGTTCTGAAGTTCTAATTAAACACTCATTGTTGTTATGCATACATTAATCTAAGCCCTCAGAAAGAAAAAAAATCCCTCCTCAATCCAAGATGGCGGCTTACATAGATAAAGAAGGAAAACCGTGGTCCATACGTACGTCTCTGACTACTAACGTTTATTAATGATGATACTTGTGTGTTTTATTCATACCACCTTTACATTTGAAAATACCCTGATCGTTTATTTGGCTTTGATCTTGTTAGGGTTATTTCTGTACGGCATAACTAAGATAAATATTATAAAATATATCAGCACCATTAAAGCCCTGATTATAGTTCCCCTCGTGTTACTCAGTAGTATAGTTTGTAATAATACGGTTAAGATTTAATAAAATTTTAATCATTATGATATAACATGCAGTGTATCTAACAGTTTTATTGTAGTAGTATATAATATATTACATGAGGCTACGTGAGCACGTAGACGTTCTAAGTAAGAACACATCTATAAGTGTAATCACCGTCTCCATGTAAGTTGGGAACATCTCTTACAAGTCAAGGCAACCGATACCAATCCCCTGTGGTGTACACCAGCCTTCATTATCACATAGTTTCTACCGATTTACCCATCCCCTGTGGTGTACATCAGCCTTCATTATTGCATAGTTTCTACCGATTCAGCAATCCCCTGTGGTGTACACCATCCTTCATTATCACATAGTTTCTACCGATTTACCAATCCCCTGTGGCGTACACCAGCCTTCATTATCACATAGTTTCTGCCGATTTACCAATCCCCTGTGGTTTACACCAGCCTTCATTATCACACAGTTTCTACCGATTTACCAATGCCCTGTGGTGTACACCAGCCTTCATTATTGCATAGTTTCTACCGATTCACCAATCCCCTGTGGTGTACACCATCCTTCATTATCACATAGATTCTACCGATTTACCAATCCCCTGTGGTGTACACCAGCCTTCATTATCACATACCTCTTTAGTCAGGCTATGAACTTGATCCTCTCATAATGAATTTCAATACATTGTCCCATGTAATTATTCCTTTGTGAGGTGATATTCGCTTTATAGCATTATCTTAACCGCCAGACTACAATTCATTGTTACAAAATACAAGTTTCTCGGTTAAAAAAACCCCAATAATAGTGACTGAAATATTAAATAACTACTGACAGTTGTAGATCTCGTGAACTAAGTTGTTGGACCGTACTTTTTAACTGTTCCATGATCCAGTGCTGACGTCATTTGTATGTTTGTTGGATTAAAAGTAATGTTCCTTTAAAATAAATAGGACTAAATGAAGATTATAATGTTTATTTTGCTTTGAGTTTGTCTGCTCGTTAAAATCATATCACAGTTCTATACAGTGACGTATGCACACAGCCCCCGAACACTGTTGGACATTTCATATCGAGGCTAGACCATTCATACGTGGACTGGTTCTGATTACGACATGCCAACGAAACCAAGCCAACATCGATGAAAATAATACCTGTTTGTAAAATTATTTTGTATCATTATTGCGCTACAATTTTGTTTCATTCAGTGAAAATAATTCTGGCAATTCATTTTAAGTTTGTTTCCATTACCAGGGAAACCAATTGCCATCAGCAGTAATATTCAAATGCAATTTAAACAATTACAAATGGTGGCAAACTGCAGCAGAAAAAGTGTTGAATGTTAGAAATGCATTTAAGAAATGAACAATGTTATATTGTTACGATACAGTTTATAAGGAACATGTTCCACTTTACACAGCAAATATGACCACATGGCATTTAAAGCAAACAGTTAACATGTACTGTTGTTAAAGCAAATGTTATCACGTGGTTTGTAAAGAACATGTCACCACGCGGTTTTTAAAGAACATGTTATCACGTGGTTTGTTAAGCAAATGTTACCACGCGGTTTGTAAAAAACATGTTACCACGTGGTTAGTAAAGTAAATGTAATCACGCGGTTTGTAAAGATAATGTTACCACGCGGTTTGTAAAGATAATGTTACCACGTGGTTTGTAAAGCAAATGTTACCACGTGGTTTGTTAAAGTAAAT